ATTGATTACTTGAATCTAATATTTTATAACTGCTTCTGTAGAAAAAAATTCATTCAATGAATAATATGGGAGCACAGACTGAAGAGATGTATGGATGGAAGGAAGGGAGGGAGGAACGGACGTGATGGAATGAAGAGAGATTCTGTGTTGTGTGGGGGAGAGGGCCTACCCATTGTGCTTTGTGTGGCGCCCCTAATCCTGTACCCACACTAGCAAGTGAGATCCATAGATCATCACCCCACCTCATTAAGCCAAAGGCTTCAATTTTCACTTCCACAAGTCGTCTTTCTGTTCACTCTCTATAAAATGATCAGCTCATGCCCTCAAGGTTTTTGCTATGGAGTTGAGGAGACAATATTTCAATGGAATTGATGCCATATGGAAAATCCCAAGTAAGCTTTTGTACAAGTGTAAAATAAAATCTTCAAAACAGATGAGAATCTTGCTCTAGTGGTAGGAACACAGGCTTTGGCATTAAACCGTTCCAAGTTGAATTTACTCTCTCCTACTTGGAAGCTGTGAAGACCTGTTCAAGTCTGAACCCTTCTGAGCCTCAGTTTCCCCAGCTGTAAATGAGACTAACAATACTGAACTTGCTTGGCCATTATGTGGATTAAATGGCACAAACTGTAAGTGTGTAGCATCTGTGGCACATATTGTTAAATAAATGAGATGTTTTTGCTTTCTATGTGCAGGCACTGTACATTAAACTTTGTGTGTAGATAATATTGTTAAAATCCTATAAAAGTCAGGATGCTAAGACCTGGAGAGGTTAACAGTCTTCTCAAGGCCCATGGCCCATGGCCCATGGCTAGAAGTTACAAGGCCAGAATTTGGACTGAGAAGTCTGATCTAGAGACCCACCTCATAATCATTTGTCTCTCTAAGCCAGCAAGCCACCCTTGGGCAAATGACTGATAGACTGTTTCTGGAATGCATGAGTTTTCGAAGAAGTTGTTGGTGTTGGTAGTCACTGAGGTTTTCTAGGGTGAAGGAATGGTATTTAAATGTGCAGAGATAGGAAGGGAGGATAGGGAGGGAGAAGGTGCTCAGAGCTGTGCCAACACACAGATTTGTGTGAATAGTTTCAGAACATTAAAATTTAGGAGGAAATACTAGGAATCATGTGTATCATCAACTCCAAATGTCTTACTTAAAAAAATGAAAGTCAGTCTTTCATTAACAACCCATTATTTCACCTAATCACAATTCTACAAAAGGAAGAAATAAATTTTTTAAATATTTTTATATGTTTATATTTTTATATTTTGAGAGGAAGGGAGATAGAAACATCCATTGGCTGCCTCCTGCATGCCCCCTACTGGGGATTGACCCACAACCCGGACACGTACCCTCACTGGGAGTTGAAGCAGGACCTCTCAGTTCATGGGATGACATTCAATTCACTGAGCCACACCAGCTGAGCCTAAAATATTTTTAATTACTATTTACATTTAGTGGTATTATGCTAAGTGAAATAAGTCTGTCAGAGAAAGACAGTTACCGTATGATTTCACGTATATGTGAATCTAAAGAACAATATAGACAAACAAAACAGAAACAGACTCACAGATACAGAGAACAGACTGATCGTTGCCAGGGGGAAGGCGGTTGTAGGACTGGGTGAAAGAGGTGAAGGGATTGAGAAGTGAATTGGTCAGTACAGAGTAGTCAAGGGGATGTGGAGTACAGCCTAAGGAATATAGACTATAATATTGTAATAACTGTGTATGGGGCCAGAAGTAAAATTTTAATATAGCCTTATCAAATAGATGCTTAATATATCCCAGTGTAGTGTATTTTTTACTCTTCTACCCCATGAACTATATAAATTTTGAAAAAATCAAATCCAGCCCTACCTGGTGGCTCAGTTGATTGGAGTGTCATCCTGTACACCAAAAGGTTGCAGGTTTGATTCCCAGTCAGGGCACATATCTAGGGTTCGGGTTCAATCCCCGGTGCATACAGGAGGCAACCAATCGGCGTTTCTCTCGTGTCGATGTCTCTCCCCCCTCCCCCCATTCTTTCTCTCTAAAATCAATAAAAACATATCCTTGGGTGAGGGTTAAAAAAAGTCAAATCCATTTTTCTTTTCAATTCAGTAGCCCACATTTCCAATTTAACCTTTAGTCCCCACCTCTTACCTCCATCACATTAAGAAATGTGGCCTTTTTCTATTGATAGGTCAAAGTGTCTCATGTTCTCTGGCATTTTCTCCAATAACTGAAGAGGAATCAGAGCATAATCAAGCAAAAGCAAAGAAATAATGGAGTTTTTCATACAGAAAGACTCATGACCAAACACAGATCATTGGCAGTGAGTTTGGCATTTATTTGAGACTATTAACAGTATATTTATTTTATGTATAATAGTTCATTGAGCACCCAGAATGTATATAAGAATGCAGACTACTTTTATGGAATAAAAACTTTATGGGGTCTTTTCCTTCCTGTTGAGTATGAATGAAGAGAAATTTCCCATTTGACTTTTTTCCAAGATCAAAGGAGTTTATGCTGTAAATTAAGCTCTGTCAAGGCCATGAGTAGTATGAGTTCAGTCTGATTCTCCCCATCCAGTGGCCATAGGGTGCTTGACCACCAAACTGAAAACTGGCCTAGCAAAGGGTATTACCAGGAGCTGGCTTTTCTTTCCCTGCACTGCTTTCGTAAAAATGCCCCATGGTGTTTGTTCTCTTGGCAACGTTGTTGGGATCACCTTAAGCCACTGACCCGGCGAGTTCCCTCAGAACCGTTTCCCGGAGACAACTCAGAGGAACACGTTTTTAGCAGCGTGAATGTGCCCTGGGTCTGGAAATTCCATAAGTGAGTTACAGCAAAGAATGGTCTTAAATCTGTTGCTGGTACAGAATCTGAAATGTAAATTGTCTGGATCAAGGGGGCTGCCTCTCTAACTGCTATAATAAAGGATGTTTTCAGAACTGTGTGGTGATAAAAATGAAAGTATTTAACATTGTAAAGATATTTGGAATCCAGATGGGTCATATGGTTATAGACTTCTTAGTTTCTTCTGTTGCTTCTCTAGTCCAGAATTTGTCTAGGAACCCTTTGTTTTTGTTTAAGGAAGTAGATTTGGTTTGGATTATTTTTTCCCTGTCTTATTTGTTATATGTTTGCATGAAATATTTCATTTCTTTATTCACTTAATGCCAATTTAATTCTAATTCTGAGGCTCCATACTTCTGGACTAAGGCGTAATTCAGCCTCAGTCATTTTGGTGGCTCATTAACTCTCAGGGCTCCTGTTTCTTCACCAAGCCCCTAGACACGGATAGGGGTCTGCTGTCATTGCCAGGGGTCCACCCTGGCAGCCAGCATGCCCGTAGGTACCACGCTACAGGATCTCTTCAAGCCCAGAAGTCCTGCTGCTTCTAGGCCCCAGTGCTTGGGACACAGGACTTTGTGTAAGGTGGACTATTGTACCTCGAGCCTGCTCCCTTCGACTTTGCCTGTGGGTTCTTGAAACCTGTGTGTGTGCTTGTGGCTGGGGGAGCTGGGGGAGCTGGGGATGGGAAGGCAGTGGCATTGCAGGGCTCCAATCCTCACTTCTCATGGAACCCACGGGTCGGTTTCCAGTGTCCACTCGAAAGCCCTTTTCTTCTCTCGGTGGCCCTCCAACACACCTAGCATAATTCATTCAACATCTTTCAGTGCCCATCAATTTTATAACCAACAGAAAGAACCGATGACTTCTAGCTGCTTCATTTGTCAGCTCCACAAAAATCCCCGAGGCAAGAAATTTCGAAGCTTGACTACTTGCTTGACATGAGGGAGAAAAATTGTGTGAACAAAGTCCACTGCATATTTTTAAAATAGTCTCCCCAAAACATTTAAATATTTGGGTGTGTAGATGTAAATTGTCTGCAGGGTTCCTGTTGACGGTGGCTGTCCCTGAGGAGTGTCACGGAGGGCCTGGAATGGGAGGTAGTCTCTTTCTGTGTTCACTATACCCTGTGATATTGCCTGAGTCCTTTACCTTGGTACATGCAATTTTTATAATGATAAAAAATTTAAGATTATTAATTTGAAGAGATACAAATTATTTTTTACAAATTCATTAACATGAGCTCTGGCTGGTTTGGCTCAGCGGTTAGAGCGTCAGCCTGCAGTCCAGAGAGACCCAGGTTTGGTTCCCACTAAGGGCACGTGCCTCAGTTGCAGTTTGTCCCCGGCCCTGGTTGGGTCGTGCGGGAGGCAGCCACTCAATGTGTCCCTTTCACATCGATGTTTCTCTCTCTCTCTCACTCTCTCCCTCTCTCTCTTTCCCACTCTATCTGAACAAAAAATGGAAAAATGTCCTCAGATGAGGATAAAAAAATAAATAATTCATTCATTAACTACGAATTCCTCTTCTCAACCAGAGCTTACCTCCCTAGATATTGTCCTGATTTTATGGCTCAGAATTGCTGAGTTTAGAAGTTAATTTGCCCAAAATTCCACAGTGGCAGAGTCAGGATTCGAACTTACAGCTCTGTTACACTTAGAAGCATGAATGCTCTTTCCTCTACTCTATGCTCTATCCAGGGCCAGTTCATTCCATTAAGTTCTTTTCTTTAATTGCCCAAGTAACGAGGCCTGACAAACCACCTTTATCAGGCCACACATCTATGCCAAATCCTTGAATACCAATAAATACCTGAAACCATGTTTCAAAATATACCATAAAATATAAATAAGAATGACACATAGTTCACCTCGAGTTCATACACAGCAGCAATGTACAGGGTTTACAGTAAAATGCATGGGGGAAGTTTAACTTGAATTATTAGGCAAAGCCAGGCCTAAAGGAATGAAATAATAAACGTAGGAAAAATTAATTATACCTCTGAATATGTCAAAACTGTGTATTTTGTTTATCTTTAGGTCAAATAAAATATCACATTATTAGCAAATAGCAAATTATAGATTGATGCCTATGGTTTGGTGGTTTGTTTAAGGAAGCGTTTGCGGTTGTTGAAAATTAATAAGAATTTTGTTTTTATAGGATGCTATAGTTATACATGAAGTCTATGAGGAAGGAGCAGCAGCCAGAGATGGAAGACTTTGGGCTGGTGACCAGATTTTAGAGGTATATGGTTATGAATTTTATTTTGTACCAGTAAATGTGGTTTCTGTATTAACCTTAATCCACAAAATCAGTTTTATCTATTTGCTCTCTTCTCCTTCACTATATCCTCTTATTTCTTTCCTATTTAAGAAAACAGGTACCATATATTTCTTGTTTATAATGTACAGTGAATAAGCATCTTTAGAATCATGACAGATTATCAATCTAAATCTGTCTGTGGAAACATTTTTTAATTTAAAGGAAAAGTACAATTTATGGTTTTGTAATCTTAATGTCAAATGAGACTGTGTAGTATTGCAATTAGATATTATTGCCTCTCCATTATACCTTCCTAAATTCCCTCCTCAAAGCACAAATACATAGACATGCACACCTGACATTTTAAAGACTTTACTGTAGCTTTAAGTATTATTTCCTTATTCCTAATAAACCTTAAAGTCAAATGGAGGTCCACGCCTTGCCACTTTTGTTTTCTAGCTGAGGAAAATGTAGAATCTTTTCCCTTTAGGTGGTATATGGTACTTATTAAAAACTGAAATGCTTAACTTGCCTCTTTCAAATGGACTCTCATTTAGCAAAGGCGTTAAAGCCTTTAAAAAAGTGCCAAGGCAGGCAGCGTCTGAAAAAGGGGACGGATGAATAGAAAGTCAATGCCAGGCGTTCTGGTAGGTGGAACTAAAGAGCTTTTTCAATGGCGTGAAACCTTTAGGCAACATTTATTTCCTTCATTGGACGAATTTAATTGAATAGTTAACATTTTATGGCGGGCATGTGCATTTTTGCTTTGCAACTTTAATATAGCACATTATGAATGACATCATAGCATTTTATTTTTCCCTTTGGTGGCTCAAGTCTGCCTCCCAAGATGAAACCAGAGATATAATTAAGGGCAGAAAATATAGGCAAGAAGGAGTTAAAAGAGAGGCCAGGCTGACTGCAAATTAAATTCAAGGCAAGTTATAGGATTTCTCTGCAGGCCTTTACTGTGCTTTATCATTGGATTAGGACGTATTCCCAGTACATTCATTTAAGGTACAAGTGTGCGAGGTTAGAAAAATAAGTGAGGTCTCTTTGGGAATTGACTTGACTGCTTTAGCATACACCATTTTGTAATGGTCAGGAGTTTGGGGGTGTTTTTTCTCCCTAGTTTTTCTAATGAATGGGTCGTGTCATAATTGGCTTTGTAACTTGAATAGCTTGACTATTCAAAAGTGTACAGATGCATACATTCCTTGATACTTACAGGAGTGTAAGCACACAAATTACTCCATAATGATTAATATGTGCATTATCCTGATTGTGACAATCATTGCCCAGGTATAAATTCACACTAAAAATTGTACACTTTAAACATATATCATTTATTTTATAACAGTTCTATCTCGGTAACAAAAAAGTTAACTATATCTATTTGTGTTGAATAGACCCTCAGCTGTAGCTCTCCCTCCTATAAAGTATATTCACATACAGGTAAACACTCAAGACAGGTTAGCATGAAGAAAGCAAATTTGTTTTAAGTGGAAGGAGAATTTGAAAGGTCAAATCAACCATTTCCTGTCATCTAGCCAAATTATTGTACCCATTATGGATGGGTAGTCTACACTTCTCATTACAGATGGCCAGAGCAGCTTCTCCTCTTACCACGGACAGGATCTAGTCCACAAGCACATACCATGTGTTTAGTTAAGAAAGATAGCTCTCAGTTAGGTCAAGTAACATGTTTCCTTTCTGAGCGGCTTTAGACCCCACTTTTGACCTTGTTCTATCTGTGGTTGCTGTGTGCAGATGCGTGACAAAGCTTAATCAGCGTGGGGCTGCGGGCTGCCTGGGGTGGTATATTTCAAGACCATGAAGCATTGCTTTTTTCCAACAATGGCCTTTCTGTTCCTGAAGGCCTTCTGCATTGTGCAAGCTGGCCTTCCGTGGTTTTCATACTATCCTCATGTTAAACATAAGACAAGCCAGATTTTGTTTACAAAGATATAGTCAAATAATTTTTTCTAGCATGGCAAGATTTATGATTCTGTGATTAGCATGGACTGTCCTCTTTCTGGTGCTCATTTTAGGGTGAGTTCCTCTTTTTACTTGACCTCTTCTTCCACTATCCCTTCTCTTTGTGTGTGAGAGGGCAGAAAGAGTAGAGAGCTAATGCCTGGTCTTCTCTGTGGGGTATAATAAAGGGGAATTGCTGCCCTCGTTTGGTTATTCTTTCCTTCTAAAGCAGTGGTTCACCCACTTTCCCACATGCCCATCCTACCCATGGGATGTGATACATTCTCATTGACATCTGAGGCTTCCAATGACCCTTCTTCTCAAATAGGGAGCCCTGCTATTACCTCCCATACCCCTTTACAAGTAATGTTCTAAATAATGTAAATAGTGCTTCTGCAAGGCACTTAAGGTAATACATCACTCCACAGTATTCTAGCCACATAGTGGTATTTCTCTTACAAGTATTGTGCATTTAGTGGTGTCTCTTGATAAGCAGAGGAGGAAATGAAAATTGAACTTGGAGCAGATCACTTTGATTTGAGCAGACATCTTGATGCTGGAATTTAGTATAAATTGCTTTTGTAGTATTAGAGTTTAATGACAATGCTTTTAATTTAAAGTATAATTGCTGGGGCCTTTCAAATGCTATTTTAGAGGCTTAGAGAATTCACCTTCAATCCATGGAGATAACTTTTTTTCAGCTGAGTAACAGAAGTGGTCTTGTGTGCCATCTATTGGAATACAAGAAAATAATCAGCTCAGCCCACATTTTCTAGACACAGTGTTTTCCCCTTTGTTCTGTGGGTTTCCCTCAACAGTGAGAATGCACTGATGGGCCTAAAGTAGCGGTGAGTGCTGGTGCTGAGAGAAGGCGGCCCTGACTGCGGTGACCTCAGTTCCGTATGAAATGTCAACTTCTAACTTCCATCGAGCTCAACCGTGTGTCAAGCCTATGTTCATTTCATTTGGTCCTCACAACATTAAGCAAATATTATTATCATTATTATCTCCAATTCATAGATGACAAAGTTGAAGCTTAGCTTGAGTAATTTACATAAGGTTTCACATAGTAGGTTGGAATGAGCCCTCAAACTGAAGTCCATCTATATGCAAAACCCATGCTTAAACACTATTCTTCTGGGTATAGTTCATCTGAGTACCAGATACAGTAAGAGTTTAAAACTCACCATCTCCAAGAGAGTTCATTCCTCTTTTCTCCCTTCTTTGTCACCATTCTTTGTGACAAGTTTTTAGTCTTTGGAATGTTAGATTGGAAAAGCCTCAGACCAGCCCCTCACTGTACAAATGAAGGAATGGAGGTTCAGAGGTAGGCAGGCTTGACATGCCCAGGACACAGAGATGGACCAAAACACAGCTGGAACCAACATCGTAAGGGAACTCTTCCATTCTGCCATCCACCTGTCCGTGCATGGCCTGGGACCATCCCCCCTGTGTTTTACTCTTCCTAGCTGTGACCTTGAGGGTGTGACCTTAATTCCCTTTTTTTGAGTCCTGGGCTACTCTGCTTCTCAATTCCTCCCTTGTGGCAAATTCACTAACCAACATCAGTCCTTGACTTTCTCTGTGGCAGGGGGCTCCTATAATAATGCATTCTAAGAGTGAATTTTGAGGCAGCATGGTATAGAAACCAAAAAGATAGTCTGGAAAGATAATCCAGTTCAAATCCTGGCTCCTCCACCTACTCGCTCTGCAGTCTTGGTCAAGTCACTTAACCCCTCCATGCCTCGGTTTTCTCATCTATAATATGGTAATAATGCTTATTTCAGAAAGTTAGTGTAAAGATTTAAAAGAGTAGATATCCATGAGGGCTATTACACAAGCACTACATAAATATTTGTTGAATAAAAAGTAAGTTGGCTATGATCTCCACTTAACAGACAAGGAAGTAGAGGCCCACAACCAGCACAGAGTCACGCCTGCCCAGAAGCACTGTTTCCATGACAGCTCGCTGTCTCTCGCATGTCCTTTCTGTGCTCACTTGGATCCAGATTCAAATGAGTGGACTTCAGCAGTTCTTAGACGTTGTTGAAAATACGGGTCCCTAGTTTCCTTCAGCCTGTTCTGAAGTAGTTGTGTTGTCGGTAATTAAAAGTGAGGCTGTTGACCAACCAATTGTGGGCTTGGTCCCTGGTGGGGGGGCATGCAGGAGGCAACTGATCTATGTTGCTTCTCTCTCATTGATGTGTCTATCTCCCTCTCCCTTCCTCTCTCTCTCGAATCAATAAAAACATAATTTTTTAAAGTGAGGATGTCAAATTCAGTTAGTAAACTGAGTCTAAAAATGCTGATCAAGCTCTAATATTTATTTCCCTTTTGACCTCAATTAAATGAGCCAGTTATTTCCCTCTCCCTCCCCCCCTCATCCATTCTATGCAAAATTGCATTATCATGTGTACTAACCCGCCCTTGATGCTTATTTGAGGTGGGGGAGTATAAAGGTCACTTCCTTCATATTTGAAGCTGCTATAACGACTGCTAGTGGTCAGTACCTGTGTGCTTTGAGAATGGTTGGAAATTTCTAGAGGTTTTTCACTAGTTGGGTGAAGGAACTCCAGCAGATGCAGCAGATGAGAGCCCTCTGCTGTCAACAGCCCTACTCTGACACCTTTTGTTCCAGGTGAACGGGGTTGACCTGAGGAGCGCCAGCCACGAAGAAGCCATCACAGCCCTGAGGCAGACCCCTCAGAAGGTGCGACTGGTGGTGTACAGAGACGAGACACACTACAGGGACGAGGAGAACTTGGAGCTCTTCCCCGTAGATCTGCAGAAGAAAGCCGGCAGGGGGCTGGGCCTGAGCATCGTTGGGAAACGGTAAAAAAAATGCTGTGCGAGTCAGGATTGATCGGCCTTCTTCCTTCAGAGTTCTAGGGACTAATGCTTATAAATACAGAAAAATAAAGCCTGGTATAAACTAATCATACAGTCTCTAAAATCAACATATTCATGGATATTTCAGTGACATAGTTCAAATTTCTGAACAAGATCTTACTCCCAAAAAAGTGTCATATCAAGAGACAACTCTGAGCCCACTCAACCCAGACTGTGCAGACTTAAACCCATGTAGAGTAAGAACAGTCAGCAAGTTTCTTTCAGTTTGGAGCTAATTAGATCTCAGGCTTGCAGGGGTTAATTAAAGCAACAATACCCAAGAAACAGCTAATATCAAGAGAGAGATTTATACAATCTTAGGTTAAGAAAATGGCTCTGCCATGGAGTACCATGTTAATTTCGTACTGCCCATTACTAAAACTAGTTGAGGGAGTTACTAAAACTAGCTGAGTAGACATACTTGAGGGACATATAAATCTTCATGGCAACAGTTTTCTGTTAAGAAAGATGTCCCCAAAATAATAGCTTGCACCAAACACATAGGTAGATTCTGGTGGCTAGACTTCTTTCGAAGTCCATGCTGCTTACCCATATGATGGGAATTATAGTAATTGTTCTAGATAATATTAGGAGATTTCTCTTGCAGTGAATTAAAAAAGGTAAGATCTTGAAACTGCAATTCTAGCTTCCATGGTTTACTGGCTCTAGATATTGAGGGTGTATTTATTCCAATAGGGTTACAGAGTTTTCAGGTGATACTCCAGTATGGCCTTAAACAATGTCTGTCAATCATCTTTTTAGGAAGAATGCAAGTTGATTTATATATATTATGTCATGTGCCCTCATAGACCTCTGATGAGCCTAGTGCTTTTTCCAACAGTCCAAGCTGTTATTAAAATAAAAATATTAACTATTTTTGAGAACTGATTTTGTGCCAGGTACTGTGCAGTCACGATCTCATTTTTTGCATCAGAACCATAAGACTGTCACTGAATGTGCATTACAAAACAGAAAAGCTGAGACTCCTCCTCCTAAACACAAGCACTGCATGTGTGGGTGCCGAGCAGCCGACAGCACTGTGTTGAAGTTTGCTCTCTTATTGAGGCACATACCTGTCTCTGGGAGATTCCATTGAGAGTAATGGTTTTTACTTTATTGTCTCACAGTAGATTGATGAAATGATCACCAGCATTTCAGATTGAGGGTTTTTTTTTCTTTTATTTATTTGTTTTTTGAAGAATAACAGTTATTTTTACCACGGATATTGCTTACTGAGGAAATGGCTTTTTTTTTTTTTTTTTTTGATTTTTAAAGAGAGATGAAGGGAGAGGGAGCGAGAGAGAGAAACATCAATGAGAGAGAACATCAGTTGGCCGCCTCCTGCATGGCCACCACTGGGGATTGGGCCCACAACCTCAGCATGTGCCCTGACTGGGAATCGAACCAGTGACCTCTTGGTACATGGATTGATGCTCAACCACTGAGCCACGCCTGCTGGGCTCAGATTGAGGTTTTTTTGTTTTTGTTTTTGTTTTTATCCTCACCCAAGGATATTTTTCCATTTTTTGTACAGATAGAGTGGGAGGGAGAGAGAGGAAGGGAGAGAGAGAGAAACATCGACGTGAAGGGACACATCGAGTGGCTGCCACCCGCACGACCAACCAGGGCCGGGGACAAACTGCAACCGAAGTACGTGCCCTTAGCGGGAACTGAACCCGGGTCTCTCCAGACCGCAGGCCGACGCTCTAACCGCTGAGCCAAACTGGCCAGGGCTCAGATTGAGTTGTTTTTTTTTTTTTTTTTTTTAAACTTTTTTTTTTTAATAGTTTATTTTATTTTTATTTTTTTATCCTCACCCGAGGACATTTTTCGATACTTTGTTCAGATAGAGTGGGAGAGAGAGAGAGAAACATCAATGTGAAAGCGATACATCGAGTGGTTGCCACCCACACGACCCAACCAGGGCCGGGGACAAACTGCAACCAAGGTACGTGCCCTTAGCGGGAACCGAACCCGGGTCTCTCCGGACCGCAGGCTGACGCTCTAACCGCTGAGCCAAACCAGCCAGGGCTCAGATTGAGTTTTTAAAGAAACATTTACATTCCTTAGCACAAAAAGTTCACTGCAAAGGATTAGATATACGCTCTCAACATTCACAATTCTTTGACTAGCAATTCCACAACTAGGAATGTATTCTAAATATATGCTTGTAGATATGTTATTCATCGTACCTTGTTTGCATTAGATAAAGAATGGAAGTAACCTATGTGTACATCCATTGTTTACTGATAAATGAAATTAAAAGACATCCATAAACTAGTATGCAGCCCTAAAAACCAATGAGGAAGCTCCAAGTGCCAATAAAGACCATTTGCCAAGGTTAATTCTGTGGAAAAAGTGAAGTTAAAGAAAACAAAACTGGCCCTGGCCGGTTTGGCACAGTGGTTAGAGCGTCGGCCTGCGGTGCAGAGAGACCCGGGTTCGGTTCCCGCTAAGGGCACGTACCTCGGTTGCAGTTTGTCCCCGGCCCTGGTTGGTTGTGCGGGTGGTAGCCACTCGGTGTGTTCCTTTCACATTGATGTTTCTCTCTCTCCCTCTGTTCCTCTCTCTCCCTCCCACTCTACCTGAACAAAAAATGGAAAAATGTCCTCGGGTGAGGATAAAAAGAAAAAAAGAAAACAAAACTGGAGGGAAACGAGCATGTATGTGCATGCATATTCATTTACACACATGTGTACGATACACACATGCATTTGCTGTGTATATACAGGATATAGATATCCAAGAAATAGGTAACATTAGTTACCTATGAGAAGGGAACTTGGGACCAGGGAACAGAGGTGAGAGGGAAACTTTTTAAGGTCGGTCCATTTTAACCTCTTGAACTTTGAGACATCTATTTATTTATTCATCAAATAAATATAATTAAAACCTTGAAGTAATAATGTTCAGAAAAGAGAGTATGAGGAGATACTAGATATAGATCAGATGCGAATAATTGAACTGATCTCTAAGGAAATGACCTGTACATTTTCAGAGTACTTAACTCCACTTTTTAAAGTGAATTTCCATTTCATTTCACTAAAATTATCCTCTTGCAGAAATTATGCCCTTGGGCCAATAAAAGTGAATATTACAATAGGCAGCATAAATAGGCATAAACTATTTAAAGGGTAAGCACTCTGAGGTTTATCATCTGGGCCATTAGTGGGTACTGTTGAATGAGATGACTTTGTAGGGCCCTTGTTCCAAGTTTCAGAACTTAGTGAATCTATCTAGAATGTTAGTAATCTCAGATTTGATAAAGGAATATTAAGTTGTGCCAATACCCACTGCTTTATGGTATTCGCAGAAATGGAAACGGAGTGTTTATCTCTGACATCGTGAAAGGTGGAGCCGCAGACCTGGATGGGCGATTGATTCAGGGAGATCAGATCTTATCTGTGAATGGAGAGGATGTGAGAAATGCCTCACAGGAGACAGTGGCCACCATCCTCAAGGTGAGTCCCTGGGCTGCTTTCTGCCGAGCTGTGCAACTGAAGTCCACTGGAAGCAGTTCTAATCTAGTGTGGTTACAAAATGGGATGGATGATATGTGACTCTACTTTCCACTGGAAATCTAATCTCTGGTTGTTTTAACCAACCAGGAATAGCTTTAAAAGAAAACTTATTTTCAAAGAAAGAAAGAAAGCTGTTAGACTAGAAGGATTAAACAGAACCCTATTTTGGGATTTTTAAGCTATGTATTCATAACTGGGAGAATTCCAGGTGTCCATATTGTCCTCTAAATGCATTTGATGAGATGGGCTCTCCTGGAATCCCAAGTTCATCCTCCCCTAGGGCTAGGGCAGAGAGCACATTACCGTGAACTCATCAAATCCAGCTTTCCTCACTTGAAGGAATGTTAGAGACTATCTAGACCAATTCCTTCATGTCACAAATAAAGTCTGAAAAAAAGCAGAAGGGCATGCCCAAGACCACAGTACTCTGCTCCAGTGTCTTTCCTACCACCCAAGCTGTCTCTTCCTGAAGCTGTAGAGATGCACTTCCAAGTATCTCTGCCACGTGGATCCTACCTCCTTTAGAAGAAACTGGTTAATAAAAATTCTTATAAATTTTCATTCAACTGTAACAAGGTACATTTTATTGTGTTTTACACATAGCTGTGGGAGCTTTTGCAAAGACAAATGAATTTTGTTTGTTTTTAAGTCCTGACTTCCTAATACAGTCAACTGTCAATTATTACTCGAGAGGATTTGCATTTGTAGATTACTTCTTTGTTTTTACTGTCTTCCTTTTCACCACTTTTTCTTCGTTATCTCACCACTCATAAATACTTTTATTTGGAAGAGAAAAGAGGTGAATTGAAATGTAATTGTTTTAACACGTTTAAAGTCATGAAGTCATGAGATGAATACCACTGAGTTGATAAATTTTTGTTATTTTGTGTGATTTCTTTTTTGATTACTGAATTTCCTTTTTTCCTGTTGCCTTCATCACCCATGTACAGTTCTTGGCTGCAGAGATGAGTGGAGGCTCTGCTATGATAACTTCAACCATAAATGCTACTGGTTTTTACTGCTGTTCTTTTCTTGTGTTCCCAAGTGTGCGCAGGGACTTGTGCAGCTAGAGATTGGAAGACTGCGTGCTGGCTCCTGGACCTCCTCAAGGAAGACCTCACAGAACAGTCAGGTTGTTGACGGTTTCCCATCAGACTGACTCACTCACCTGTCCCCTTTCACAGGAAGTTCCCCATTTCATAAGTGGGGAAGTACCCTATAACGTACAGTATTACAGTAATGTGTAATATACAACATATTCACAATACCAAGTTCAGTGTGTTTTAATGTGTTTGAAATAAAAATGAAAGGTGGGATGGAAATTCATTAATCTCTAGATTTTTCTCTCCATTATGGCCTGCAAATGTTTTCTTAGGACCACTTCTCTCCCCCACTATTAGTTCTGTAGTGCCCTTGCATGTGTGTACACAGCTGTGTTTATTTAAAAAAAGAAAAAAATAAGAAAGAAGCAACATCTGGTGGCAATTTGACCCTCATTAGCACAACATTGTTCTATTCATTCAATTAAATATTGCTATAAAGTTAACTTGTGAATAGCCACTCACACATGCTGAGGGCAATTAATGGTATATTCCTAGGAGAGCAAAATGTGAGAGTTTCTCCTGTGGGAAGGGGGCCTTAATGGGTGACATTTTGTGGGTTAGCAAACATCTTATGTTTATTTGCAAGGCTGATGTAAGTGCCACTTTTTTTTTTTTAAACAAAGTATATTTCACTGTTTTGTTTTGTTTTTAATTATTGTAATGGCTGAAAAAAATCAAGACGGTAGACTATATTTTTAGTCCTTTTTGGTATATAATAAAACTATAGAAACATACATGTTACCCCAAGTCCCCTTTGTGGGTTATAGATGGGCCTTTGTTTTGAGGTTAAAAGCATGACTTTTGGTCTCCTCCCTGGTTGCCTCAGACTCTAAAGCCTGTCCAAGGCCTCTGTTCAGAATACTTGGATTTTATGGTTAGCACACAGGTGCTTTTGGAATGCTATTAGCTGTCTCCTTTGCCTCATTGGTGTTAGAAAATGAGTGAAGAAAAATACTGTTGTTCAGATAGCATCACAAACTAGCAGACTTGTCTAAAGGAATCCTCAAAGCAGTCAAACCCAATAACATCATGTTAGGTTTAGAAGGTTTGTTTGTTTGTTTGTTTTTTTGTTTTTCATTTCTGACTTAGGTAATTGGCAGTAAATATCACGTATACTGTAAGACACAATGCTGCAATGAGATTCCAGGAGTGAATGGTTGGTGATGATTGTGGCCAGACTTGTATCAACAGTGGGAACTTGAGATGCAAAAATAGTTGTCTCAGCTCTTTCTTAATGGAAGGTGCATTTATTGAGTGATTTCATTAAAGCCTCATTATATGCAATGAGTTGGAATGCAGGATGAACTATACTGGAGATGAAATGTTTCTTTCTGGAGCATACATGAGAGGTACATAGAAGAGGTTCCATAGGGTCTCACTCCAAAAGGAGTTTCTTAGGTTGAAAAGAGGGAGAAAACATCCCAGAGAGAGGGAGTAGCATATGCACAGATCCAAAGAGGTACAAGGAATTCCAGTGTTTTAAGAAAAGTTTGGATTCACAGGTGAGATGGTGGGTAGAACTGAGTTTCTGTCCTTGAGGAGTATATATGAGTGTCTTAGTGATTAATAAAGTTCACATTTGCCCTGGCCAGTTTGGCTCAGCAGTTAGAGTGTCAACCCATGGACCAAAGGGTTGTGGGTTCAATTCTTGGTCAAAGGCATGTACCTGGGTTGTGGGTTCGATCCCCAGCCCCTGTCAGAGTCATACAGGAGGCGATCAATCCATGCGTCTCTCTCACTTCAGTATTTCTCTCTGTCTCTCTCCCCTTCTCTCTCCCACTCTATCTAAACAATCAGTGGAAAAATATCCTCTGGTGAGAATTAACAATAATAATAATAATAAAATAAATAAATAAAGTTCACACTCAGGTTAAATATAGAGCAAACAAATTTAGACGCTCTGTCATTAAATGTCAACAAAACCACCATTACCATTTAAATGATATATAAACGTGTGCTGTCATATTTTGGAAACCTGGGACAAAGTATCAAATATTTCTATCTAATCTTTTTGCACAGACTTTTTATTTCAAAGGGTAGATGTTTAATTCAATCCTAAGAAAAACAGTAAATATATTTTATCCTTACTTTGTTTTTAAAATTATGTCTGCAATGATGTGAGAGTTTGCACTGATATTTGGCCAAGTGGAAGAAGGCCTGTGAAAAGGAAGCATCCTCCATCTTGAGTTCAAGGTCAGCCCATGACCCAGACTGAGATAAAGCAGATCCCATTTCCAGACATTTTCATCTGTAGACCTAGGACCCACTAGGGGTACAGATTTATTTCTGGGCAATTATAACATAGGGAGATAGAGGCCTTCTTTTGAGAGTTAAGGAAAATTTTAACTTGTTAAGTTGGCCTAGAGAAAGTGTGTTCATTAAGAGAGATCTTCTAGCCTTAGGGCCACCACGCCTCTTTTTGGAAGATGTCTTTGTCCACCAACCAGAAAAGAGTATCTACTCTGCAGAAGAAAGTGTGTAATGGAAAAGAAGTCTTTTCCTCAGATAACTGAGGGAACACTGCCAGACAAAGTCCGTATTTATAAAGGCCTCGGCAAACACATTGTTCTGAGATTTTTTTAGGCAAAAGTTGTATGTTGTGCTTACTCAATTCTGAGTAGTTATCTATTGTAACACCACTGATTTAAATCATATTCTTTCAGGAAAATATAAAAATACTGCCTTACATATATTCATTGTGAAGTATACCAATATCTATAATTTACTTCGAAATGAACTTTAAAAAAAAAACCAAATTGAGTCATGAATAGATGAATAAATATGTAAAAAGGACAATGTAGCAAAGTATTCATTGTGGAATCTAGGTGTGTGTACATATGTCTGCTTTTTCTTTATACTTGAAAACTTTCATATTTAAAGAATGTTAAAATATTAAACAGCTTATATCATAGAATTAAGGAAGTGGTTTAAATTATAATTCATCAGGTGATCATTGTTATCTTAGGTTTAGTTTAAAGTTTTGAGGCAATTGGGCATAACCTTGATAATTTGGAAGAAAAAAATCTTGACTCGTTACTGGTGACATTGTGTTCTACACTGAAAAGGTCCTTCACTGTGTATGATTTTCACTGAATAACCATTAGCCGTACATGACTTTACATTGTAAACCTCAAATATTTACTTAGATAAAGGGGCAGTAATGGAAGTACAGCAGATTTAGTTGAATTATTCCTGACGCTAGGAAAATCTTTGAGAAAAACTAATTTAACATATTACTAAAACAACACATTCCCAGGATATTTGCTGCTTTCTCCTACAACTGAGAGTTCCAGTTGGTCCAATTTTTATTAATCAAGGTTTTATTATGCTTGTTTTAGCAAAATCGATTGTATAGTTTGGATGGTAAGAGAGTCAGTGTTGACTCTAGCCCCAGATAACACATAGCGCCATAACTGTCATACAGAAATACTGTGTAACAGCTTCGGAAAATGGTTTTTATTTCAGTTGAGGAAGAAAAGCTTAAATTATATTTTCTTCCTTGATGATTGAAGCCATACATGGAAGCACATATAACGGAGAAGTGTTACATGGGATTGTGTTAGGGTGGTAAGAAAGTGAGTGGGTAATTTCTGTTTTCTTTTTTAGCCTGTTAAGAATTTTCTATTGCATGGTTATGGCTACTTCAGTAATTAAAACACTAATTACTAAGTGTGAAAGTTGGAGACCAAGTGTGTGTCTCAGCACAGCTGACCCGGGGTTTCCTTCCCAGGGGAGTCAGCACAGCAGCTTCCCTCCGTCCCTCGCGCCTGTCATCACCAGCCTGCAGAACCTGGTCGGCACCAAGAGAGCTTCAGATCCTTCCCCCAAAAACCCAGGTACTCCTCCAACACCCCTCCAACAAGGCATCCCGTTACCCAATTTTAAAAAATATTAACATTTTTTAAAACAATAGTTTTACCTTTAAGTAAATATGTTTAAATCTTTGCACTTGGTGACACAAGCCCCAAGCTTTTGGAAAGGCCTGTTCTAAAGGACGTAAAGCCACAGAGATTCATTTCCGAGCTGTGCCTTTAACTTGGCACCAATCACATGAAAAGTGGGAAAGCCAAAACCTAAAGTGTTTCCTAAAGTAAAATCATGTACAAAGAAAAAAATTATAAAATGACTGGTCACTCAAGGAAGGTCAGAAGTGCATATACCAGTCGGGTGGGATAGGGCAAGGGTATTTTTAAGTCTTTCTTTGGGTAGATGGTTGTCTTTGATTAAGTCAGAAAAAGGTCTAAAACCACAAATGGCTTACTTCCAAGCCATTTAACCACCACATTTCAGGCAGCTACTGCTACAGTCCATCAGCTTCTGTCAGACCAGAGGATTACGGCCACATCTGTCTCAGACAGAGAGGACCTCTTTAAAATAGAAGACATAGCCCCTGATCAATGGATTTTGAGAAAGGGTATAATGCCTGTTTGCTTCGGTATTCTTTCTTGAAAGGCCTAGAAAATGATACCATTTTCAGGAGATAATATTATATCCTACATATATTATTTCTTAATATTAAAAGTTCATTGCATTGCTTCTTTATTGATAGGCACAGATATGGGACCAAGGACCGTTGAGATAATCAGGGTAAGTCAGTTATTTTGCTATTTTTCTGGTTTGTGTTACATTTGCATAAGATGTACATTTTCCCCTTATAACAACTGGTTGGATTGTTAGTGTGCTCCTTTAAGGTATGAATAAATATGTGGTCTGTGTAACATAAACAGGCTTAGAGAAGCATCGTCAAGCACATAGATGACCACATGAATTTTTTGGTACATCCCATCCACTACATTTTGTGCATGTACTTGAAGTTTTACAAAACAAAAAATGGTATCATGTTAGAAATACTCTTGTAACTTTTTAAAATTTTATTTTAAAGCAAGAACTTTTAGCCATGCCAATAAGTATTTTTTAACAGCACATAGTGATTTTCAACTGGTGTGCCACAAGAATTCTTAAAACATGCAGTATCTGACTGTTTAGTTGGAGGCACTGACCTTTTTTTCCCTTATATTGTCAAATAAAAAAATGAGAACAGCCAACCCAACAATAGCTGTTCAGTGTGAATAAATAAAAATTTATACCGCCCTGGCCAGTTTGACTCAGTGGTTAGAGCATCGGCCTGTGGTCCAGAGAGCCCTGGGTTCAGTTCTCACTGAGGGCACATACCTCAGTTGCAGTTTGTCCCAGGCACCAGTTGGGGTCGGGAGAGAGGCAGCCACTCGATGTGTCCATTTCACGTCGATGTTTCTCTCTCTCTCTCTTCCTCCCACTCTACCTGAACAAAGATGGAAAATGTCCTCGGGTGAGGATAAAAAATTAAATAAATAATTTATACCTATTTTTTTGTCAGGTCTGCAAAAAATATATTATTTTGGTTTGCCACAGAATTTTAGTCATTAGTGTATGTGTGCCATGAAAATCACTGGCATATAGCATGATTTTTATTGGATATATAATATTCCATCATGTGAATGTGCTATAATTTTCTTAGCCAGCTTCCTCTTATAAAACAATTTGCATATTTCTCAACTTTTGTTATCTTCTTTAGCAAAATATCTTTGTATTTTCTTTTTTGCCCATATCATGAGTGATTGTCTCAGGATTAACTTCTAGAAATAAAATTGTTGAGTCAAAAGCCATAATTGTTGTTAAAGGCTTTTCTACATATTGCTAAATTGCCCTCCTGAGAAGATTATATAAGATGCATTTCAGGCCCTGGCCCATTTGGCTCAGTGGTTAAAGCGTCAGCCCATGGTCCAGAGAGACCCAGGTTCGGTTCCCACTAAGGGCACATGCCTCGGTTGCAGTTTGTCCCCGGCCCCGATTGAGGTTGTGTGGATGGCAGCCAGTTGATGTGTCTCTCTCATGTCGATGTTTCTCTTTCTCTCTTCTTCCCTCTCTCCCTCCCATTAATAAAAAAAAGAGAGAGAGATGCATTTCAGTTCATACATTTGTCAAATTCTGAATTTCAAACTCCTGTGTGATACCCAGAATATTAGAAAGTAGACTTCTATTTTGATCACTTTGACCATTAAATTTGGGGTTCAAAAAGTAGTAAAAAAAAAAAATTATGACCTTGTTGTAATCATTTAACTGCAGTAAAGTGATATCCAACATAGCTTAGTTCTCTGGAGTCTATCATTGCTGTGTTTGAAGGTAGTCTACTATTAGCTCTGTTATCTTTGGCAAGTTAACCTCAGTTTTCTCATCTGTAGAATGGGGAAGATAACACTATTTAACTCACCAGGTAAGTATTATTGTGTGGATCAAATGAAGTAATGCATACAGTATATTTAGCATAGTACCTAGTATATCATGAATGACCAGGAAGTGGCATCCATTATTATTGGCTACATCTCTGTCTATATCTGCTTTATTTGTTCCCAATATCTTTCCACCAGAGTGGCAACTCAGATGTTCCTGTGATGGGGGAGTTAAATGTACCAAGATGTGCATAATTATGGATAAATTAAGAAAACTTCATGATGGATTTGAACAAAACCAAATTATTACATAAATTTCTCCTTATTTCAAGAGTTATAAAATGTCATTTTGTTTTCTTAGTCATTTCAGCTATTTGTTTTTATAAGCTTTTATTTAAACAAAAGAAAAAAGCCTGCTCCTACCAACTATATTCTCCCACACTTGGGTTAAGAAGAAAGTTCAGCCCTGGACAGTTTGGTTCAGTGGTCAATGAGTCACGGGTTCGATTCTGTTCAAGGACAGGTACCTCAGTTGCAGTCCGTACTCCGGCCCTGGACAAGGTCATGTGGGAAGCAACCAGTCAGTGTGTCCCTCTCACATCAATGTTTCTCTCTCTCTTCTTCTCCCTCTCTCTCCAATCAATCTTTTTTTTTAATTGATCATATGTTCCTGGTTTTTTGCATGTTGAGTAATTTAGAATTTTATCCTGGACCCCATGGATGTTATACATATAGTATAACAGGATGCAGTCAACCCAGGTGAGTTGAGACTACACGTTCTGTCTCCCCTTTTGTGAGTGGTGGTCCAGTTCTCCAGTTTGGGTCTGTTTCACTCATGGATAGCTTAGAATTGCGCCTGAGCATCCTGTGGGTTCACTCAGAGTTAGCGGATCCCTTCTCCAGGTCTCTCTACTCTAGTTTTCTTCCTTTATTCTCCGACCCCCGGGGCTCTTTCTCCTGATTCCTCTGACCAGAAAGATGGGATTTCTATCCGAATGTTAGCCCTGTGCTCCACTTCTCCAGCCCCTGCCTGTGTCTCGCCCTCAGGACAGTGCTGCCAGGAGCACATTTGGGACATCCATCCCTGCTGTAGTTTCTCCGAGTTGTGGCTTTGCACCACATTTTGAGTTTCTTTACTTTTCAGAAGCCTCAGGTAGTTGGGTTGTTTTTTGTTGTTATTTTGACACCTTCATTTTAATCAGCAGGAAAGATATGCTATAGTGTGTGCACACCACCATACAAAATCTGGAACTTGTCATTTGTTCCCTTCATAATGTTTAAAATACTGACCCTATAATAGAAATGTGGGGGAAACCTGGACTAAAGCCAGGATCTCTCACCAGGGTCCGAGTGAACCATGATGCCTCACCTAATGATCTTAAGCAACATTTCCTGTCACATTTTACTTCTCTCTCTGAACTCTGCTGCCATTATAGTGAGTGTCCTCTAACATCCTTTGTTTTAACGCAGTCGTGTAGCTCGTTTAGAGCCAAGTATGTTTGTTCACACCCCCAAGAGCATGATATGTGTGGCAGTTTAATTATAAACACCATATGAGAACATACTTGCCAAGTCTGCATCAAAATTGGCCACTAAACTGAGCAGTAGCATAGGGTATTGTTTTTTCACTCCTACTATTGCCTTTTTTTTTTTTTAATTGATTTGAGAGAGAGGAAGTGGGGGAGAAAGAGAGATTTGTTGTTCCACTTATTTATGCATTCACTGATTGTTTCTTATATGTGCCCTGACCAGGGCTCAAACCTGCAACATTGGCATATCTAGACAATGTTCTAACCAACTGAGCTATCCAGCCAGGGTCCTACTATCGCCTTATTTATTTTTTTTATCCTCACCCGAGGACATTTTTGCATTCATCTTTAGATAGAGTGGGAAGAAAAGAGAGAGACACATCGACGTGAGAGAGACACATCGACCAGTTGCCACCCACACGACCCCAACATGGCCCGGGGACCAACTGCAACTGAGGTACATGGTACATGCCCTTAGCGGGAACCCAACCTGCGACTCTCTGGTCCAGTGGCTGACGCTCCAACTGCTGAGCCAAACCAGCCAAGCCTACTATTGCCTTTTATTCCTTTTATTGAGCTTTTTTTGTAGGCTAGGACTGCACTGTAACATCTCATTTAATCCTCAAACCAACACTGTGAAGTACATGGTAGTCTTCCCATTTTATGCCTCGAGATGAAATCTCTACAAGGTTAAGGAACTTTCTGAAGACTCCCCAGCTAAGTAGATCTACAGCTAAAACCCGGTCTTTCTGACTCCAAAGGCCCTGCACTTAACTCCTATGTTCCCTTGACCTCCATGGCGGAGTGTTTTTGTTCAGCAGCTATAAGGGGACAATCAGACTGTGGCTCTTTATTCATTATGTGTTATGTTTTGCTTCTTTTTTTTAGGAGCTCAGTGATGCCCTTGGAATCAGTATTGCTGGAGGAAAAGGAAGTCCCTTAGGAGATATCCCAATATTTATTGCCATGATTCAGGCCAGCGGTGTGGCTGCGCGGACACAGAAGCTTAAAGTAAACAAAGGGGACGGGCGAAGTGCTAACAGCGAGTGGAGGGTGGGAGAGGAAGCTGCAGTGGCGGGCACTTGGTTTAAAGTTGGAATTCCGACAGCCGGCAGAGACCCGTGCTAAGGGCAGAATGCTTTGGAGAAAGTTTATACCTGAAATTCATTAGGTCCTTGGGCATATAAAAATATTATTGTTTGTATCAAAGCTTCTCGATAAAAGAAGAAATTGCAGCTCATTTATAAAGCCCCCCCTCCATGCCAGGTTTTTTTTTAAGCACCCAATTCCACCCAAACTTGATTTTTACCTGAGAGTGATTTGACCTTAGAATCTCCCTCCAACCAAAAGAATCAAAGTTTTTATCATTTTTCCCCCAATGCCCCTTAATTTTAACTTAGTAGAAAAATCAAGCGGAAAATATTTGGCTTCCTCATCAGAACTTTATTGAGCAGTTAATTTGTACACCCCACTATTACTGGCAAATGGATGTATGAAACGCCACCATTACCAAAATACAAAAGTGGCCTGCCGTGCCTTTTAATAATCAGATCTGACCCCCTTCTTGTTTCTGTGATTGGTCTGTATTTGGAGAAAGCCATAAAAATTCCTCCTGCTTCCGGAACATGCACACACAGTAGAAACACAGAATCCTCACAATAGCCACAAATGCGAAATATGACTTCCAAAGAATTTTAAACATTCTTCTCAAATTTAATTTTTCTTAATGATAGTGATTTTCTACCACTTTTGTACTTCCAGGTTGGAGATCGGATTGTCAGCATTAATGGGGAACCTCTGGATGGGCTGTCTCACGCGGATGTGGTTAATCTGCTGAAGAACGCCTACGGGCGCATTATCCTGCAGGTACTGCGATCAATGGAACCCGCAGCTGCGCGAGGCAGATAAGTGGCGTGCAAAAAAGATTGAGCGTCACTGGCAGTAGGCATCACCGCCCAGCAGGGTGCTGGCTGATGTGAATTATGAAGGTTGAAAGCAAGAAATTATTATTTTTATTCAGAAATTCTTTAATGCCACCCATACAGGCAGTGAGCATGATTATATGAAAGCATAACAAGGGGAGAAAAATTACTCTTTGCTTCACGTGATAAATCAACAAGGCTTTTAGCTTCCAGCTTTCTTTTGTAAATCAGAGTTTTGCAAGGAATAGGAAATGATTTCTTTTCTTCTGCCCAAAAACTGTTACTGAACTGCCCAAGTGCCATTTCTTCCACTCACATTAAAAGAAGGGAGAAATACAATGCTCTTTTTCCTGGACCATAGTGATTGCCAACACTGTTAAATTCTCACTGCATAGTAGTCATCAGCTAAGGCAGATGATTATTTATCAGCTGTGGTCCTGAAGAGTATTGTCCAGAGGCAGAGGGAAATATACCAGGGAGTAAAAAAGAGGTGTGCTGTTAATTACCTCTTCTTATATTCTCAACACTTCAAATGTGTCTGAGATTGATATCATGCAGTGGCAGTGAGTTTGGTTAGATTCCCCAAAATGTGTGATTATAATCACCATACAGCAAAAGTTGTATTTGATGGTTTATAGGTTAAAAAATAATAAGTAAACCTGCCATTTGTACCTTAGAGAGAGGGCTAGCCAACCCCTCTGATCATTCTAGCCCTAAAATAAGTTCACATTGAAAAACCATTACTTTTGGGAGAACCAATTTGTGGTGCTTAACTCTCACATCTCAATGGTCTAAGTCCGAAGAGCCAAAACAGACACTGAAAAAAAGTATGTGGCTTTCAGCATGTATGAAGGGAATCATAAAAATACCATCAGTCGTTTTGAGGAAGTTCATGTGATCAACAACCTATTTATTCAATGACTTGGTATTTATTCAATGACTTGGGTCCCCACGTTGTTGTCGAACACAAACTGACACACTATGTGGACTGGACAGGCAGTCAGCTTCCCCTCTCCTCTTTGTCTACACTTTCAGTGGAAACTTACAGGATTTCCTGGCATTCCTCCCTCTGCCCTTGTCACAGCCTCCAAATCCTTCCCTTGGTTCTCTGTGCTTGAGTTCCCTTCGAGGTAGGCTGACCCCTAGAGGCCGCACAGCTGCAGCGCTTCAACCTCCGATCTGCGAACCGTTAGTTACACTGACTTTCAAGAGGAAGTTATTTCAGATAACTATGTCAAGACAAAAACATGTTTCCCTTAGCAAAACCTGGTAGTATTGCTATCTTCATACACTGATATAATTTGCTCAGCTCCACCTTCTTCCCAAAGAACTGAAGATACAATGGGAAAGTGTAGCATTAACTATGAAAAGTACCTTCAATGAAAACAAACTCATGCTCTTCCATGTGTAATTAACCCTTCATTCAGCTAAACTGCCACCATGAACACACTTTTGAAAGAGTACCTTAATTTTTCTATTTCTTTGTTTTAAGAATAAAATGACATTTGGTTTCAAAAATGTTCTCTTACATTAATCACATTAGTTGTTTTTTTAACATGTGTTATTAAAAGCTCAGGGGACTCCTTTGGGATTTTGACAGTTGCATCGTACAGTTATGGGTGTGGAGCATATGTGCTGCCAAAGGCTTTAGACACAAAGCCCAGGAAACTCTCGTGTCCTGCCTCAGACACCCTTCAGTTGCACAGTGTATTTGATTTAATTAAAACAATGTGCAAGGAGTGGTACCAGCAATCCAATGATCACAGCTGACTTGTCACTGGATAATGATTTATATTATCAGATGAGCCAGCCCATTGACAGAACAGTCGCAAAGGTCAGCTAATGATGTCTGGTGATGTGGAAAAGACTTTAGTCAGTGTATCTGCGAAGCAGTCAGCAACTACTAATTACACGGGGAAGATTAAGGTCTGGGTCAACAGACTGCAGGGTGGAGAAGGGGGAAAGAGCGGAAGAGACAACCAGCACTTCTAGAAGCTTCTCCCCACAGTTTAAATTGCTATAGATGTAATAAGGAGGTAGATATCCCTAACCTTCAAGTCTGGTGGTTTCTTATTCCAGTTATAGATTGGTCAGTGGAGATTGATTAGGCTATGAGGGGTCATTTGAAATATTTCCAGTTATATTTGTTTCTGTAGTTTGAGCATTTGTCAGTTAATTTCTTTTGTCTATAGAAGTACTATAAAATCGTTTTGGGGTAGAATCAGGTAACTCAGGCTATCTGCTAAAAATAATTTTTTAACACATTTTTTGAGAACATAGACAATAAAAAAGAACATATAAGGGGTTTTTATCACTAAAGGAATCTGTGAGGCTTGTTCTGGGTCCTATAAGAGATTTTCCAAACATTTTCGAGCATAAGAGAATGGATAAGTTGAGGTAGCATTAACTAATCAAGGAAGTTCAGGAGGAGTGTGTTAGGAGAGAAGAGAACGCTGTAGTTGGGGACATCCGGTAGGCACAGGAGATGTGCTGCCTGTGGTCAGTGCTGGAAACGGGTAAATTAAGCCATCTCAGCTTTTAATGTTGACATGCACACTGCCTGCCACATGAAACTTCATAGATATTGGTTCCATGAAAGAGTGAAGACAAAGACAGAGGACAAAGGCTTGGAGACGCAGCAAGCAGGGAGGGTAGAAGAGAGGCTGAAATCAGGGACATTAATTAAGGGTCTAGCTACAAAGTAGTTTGGGGGCCATTTGAGGGCCTCCTCCAGAGCACAAACAAACAAAAACCCTGCAATAAAAGGGCCTAGCTACTGGTTAGCAGAGAGAGAGACATGTCTTACTTATTAAGATAGTATTTAGAAAACAGTGAGTGACTTCTCTTGTGAGCCCTAGATCGAAAATGAAAGAGAAAAAATAAAACACAGGATTAATTCAGGAAATCCAATATCCAACAAATAGGAGTTACAAAAAGAAAAACAGAAAAATAACAAAGAAATTACATAAATTCAGCTTAAGGTCTATTAAGTGGTGAGCAGGATAAATAAAACAAGAATACCTTATACATTCTAAAACTTTCAAGGAGACAAGTATAAGCTACTCACAAAAGAACAAAAGATTCCTATGGCACCTGGCTCTTTCTCAGCAGTGTATTTCTGAGAAACTGGTTTAGGATATACTCCAACAAAGGCAAAGCAAGAAGGGGGGAAACCAGTGGGGCCAGTGTAAGGAACAGTGAGTCGGAGACAGTTGTTGCAGGCATAGAAAACAACTTGTCCAAATTGTTGCAGGAGAAGAAAGTTCCAAGACAGATGCCTCTGCATTAAAGAAGAAAAAAAGAGCAACAGACAGATTATCTCATGTTTAACTGAATTGGAAGATTGAGATCATTTAGGAAGTTTAGGGCTGAATTAGTGATAAGTATATTAAAAAGTAAACAAAATGAGATAATTATTAACCTTGGGAAAAATAAATTTGTACCAGAAAAAAAAAAGGAAATGTAATTCTAGTTTAGTAGTTGGATCAATACAAATAACATTTATGGCCTGGCCGTTGTGGCTTAGTGGATTGACTCAGACAGAGGTCCTAGTTCAATTCCTGCTCAGGGCACATGCCAGGGTTGTGGGCTTGATCCCCAGGGTGGGAGACATGCATGAGGCAGCTGATCGATGTTTCTCTCTCACATCAATGTTTCTATCTCTCCCTTCCTCTCTCTCTAAAAAAAAAAAATCAATAAAAACATATGTTTAAAAAAATAATTAAGCCTGGCCAGTTTGGCTCAGCTGTTGAGCATCGGCCTGCAGACCAGAGAGTCCCGGGTTCGGTTCCTGCTAGGGGCGCATACCACAAAAAAAAAAAAAAAAAAACAATTAAATAACATTTATAAAAACATTCCAAGTAATAATAATAAAACCAATATAACCAAGTACCATGATGCATAAAACATTAGTTAGCATGGGATTTGGGGTGTGTTGGTGGAAAGGAAAATATAAGAGAGGTAAATCTTTTTCTTCTGTAATAGGACATGGTCAGATATTTAAAACCGAAAATTCAAAAGATAAAAGTAAAAGCATATTTTTTAGAAATATGGGAGCAAATACTAGAAGAAACAGCTTAAAGGGTTGAAAATAATTACTTTTATTTTATGTTTTATTTTAAAAAATTTTTGTTTTATTGATTTTAAAGAGAGAGGAAGGGAGAGAGAGAGAAAAACATCGATGAGAGAAAACATCTATTGGCCGCCTCCTGCATGCCCCCCACTGGGGATTTGGCCCACAATCTGGGCATGTGTCCTGACTGGGAATCTAACTGGCAACCTCTTGGTGCATGGATCGATGCTCAACCACTGAGCCACACTGGCCAGACAAAAATAATTACTTTTAGGAAGTGAAAAATCACTTCCTAAATTAGGGAGAAGAAAAGAAGGTGACTTGTTAAATATGGTAGAATCATTTTTAGGTTTTTGGGTTTTTTTTTTATCCTCACCTGAGAACATTTTTCCATATTTTATTCAGATAGAGTGGAAGGGAGAGAGAGAGAGAGAAACATCGACGTGAAAGGGACACATCGAGTGGCTGCCACCCACACAACCTAACCAGGGCCGGGGACAAACTGCAACTGAGGTACGTGCCCTTAGCAGGAACCGAACCCGGGTCTCTCTGGACCGTAGGCCGACGCACTAACGCTGAGCCAAACCAGCCAGGGCTCATTTTTAGTTTTTAAATTTACATGAATAAATTTGATTTTTTAAGTAGGTTCAGTTTTCAAACATAGGTTCTGATTCTATAGGAGAGGGGCGGGATCCACGAATTTGCATTTATAATAACAAACCCTCCCACCCCGGTATTGCTGATGCTGCTCATTTAGAGGCAAGCTCAGGGAGACCCACTGGAGCAGTGCCTTATTTAGGGATGAGTAAAGATTTGCACATAGCCCCGGCCAGCATGGCTCAGTGGTTAGAGTGTCAGCCCACGGACCAGAG